AGGGTGTTTTTAAAAGAATGCCGGGAATTAAAATGCTAATTGTTTGGGTACTATTGAAGGTAACTAAACGTTTTATATGTCAAATTGAAGCTAAAATAACTAAATTTTATTTCCCTTGGTATGCGCAAAACAGGTGCGCAGTGGTAAGCCGCTATTGTGACTCATACGCTTGACGCCAGTCACCAGTACGACGGTTTACAGCACAACAGAAGACACAGATTGCAATCTGTGGTTCGCATAGTTTATATCTATCGCTGAATTAAACTAAATTTAAATCTACTTTATGATAAAAAGAAACTTGAAGCTGGTTTGATGAGTTTCGTGGCACCGAAGTGTTTTGAAAAGACATTCACCTGGCCAGCTAAAAACAAGCGATGACACAGTCGAAAAATCCGACAATTCTGCACCAGAAGCCCAAAAAAGTCGGTTTCCCGACGAAGTCTTCAGTTGAACAAACCTAAATTGGTCACTTGATGATGTTATCCATAAAAGATAGAGTCGTTGTGCCGAAAAAGATTGAATTGAGCATCAGATAAACCCGCCGATCGCCTTAAGCGACTTTGCCAGTTTTACGATCATATAAGATTTATGAAAATCTGAATTTTAGTAAATCATTCCGAATCGTATCAAGTAATTAGAAAAAAACGTTATTCTTTTCCCTTCAATTTGACGTTCAAACCATTTAATTGTCTTCTATAGTCCCCGAGCAACGACTGTTTGAAATCCTGGCATTTAATGCCTTAATCCTTTGGTAAATTTCAATATCCATTTACTAAGATAATTGCTAATGCATAGGTGTTTTTGTGAGGGCTTTTGTTATGTTATTTCAGTAGGTAAATAAAACATACAAAGCTAATCCCATCCTTGTACCATAATGAACTCAATATGGGATTATTATGGTAGTCTATCAACGAAAGCACCAGCAGTGTACCATTTAAAATGTCACAGCAAATATAAATGGAAAGGAAAAGTAATGTTAATGGTATGAAACTGTTCAGAAAATTCCAGTTATTAAATACAAATAATAAAATATTTTTTTATAGTTTATTAAAAAACCTTTTTTATCGCAATTAATGTTTTTTTAAGAATTTTCAAATTTATTTTCTAAATATTGCATTTAATGGCTAAACGGTTAATTATATCGAAATACTCTAAATACAAAAGTTGTAGCTCTTATTTTGTTGAGCATTTCTTACGTTTAATGTTTTTTTATAGGATGAATAGTTTTTGAGTAATCGGGAAAAAACTGGTTAATGGGCGCCATTTTCCAAGATGGCGGCCGTAGCACAAGTTTTTTTTTCGAGGACTTTTAGTATGTTATTCAGGAAGTAAAACTCAATATATGTACCAAGTTTTACACTTCTAAGAGTTTTTTAGGTAATGGAGAAATTTTGACTTAAAATGACTACACTATTGTTGTAGTGACAGCGACGCATTGTATACTCTCTCCACTACTCCACTCTCCCGCCCCCTCACGGCCTCACAGCTATCGTCTGATCGTAGCAGGAGGAGCTGAGCGCTGAGCGGTCGACTGCTCAGTACAGTACTCATCTACTCGTCTGCGCATGCGTCGAGACTGTTTCTAACCTTTACAGATAGATCGCACCACAAGCTAGCGCTGTTCTAGCGCTCCTAGCCAACAAATTGCTGGCGACAGGTCCACTATGGCTATGGGATGTCTTCTGTAGGTATATATAGTCAATGATATGACGTATAAACAAACATCAGAATGATAATTGATTCGAAGATTTCTTTAACGATTTATTATACAACCGTGGTAAAACAAGTTTTTCGTTTGTATTGTAACAATAACAAAATATGCATTGTTTCTTTACGAAGAAATTTTCACCCAATTATAATTTAAATGAGCTACTCAGTTTATTTTACATACTTATTAACCAACAGTTGGCCCCAAACGCAAATCCCGAACATCAAAATTAAACAGTGAATTCTGTTTACTTAGTTGAGATTACAAAATAAATAAATAAAGGTAGGCGACTAAATAATTAAATGTTTACAATTATTTAAAAAAATAAATAAGAAAATCAATTTCTAAAATCGGCCAGGGCGTAAAAATCCATCTTCAGTTGTCCAAACGCTAGTTATATGGACAGGGGGTAAAATTGCGGTTTTTATCACTAATCTAATTAATCACACTCTGGCTATTTTCATTAGACTTCCAAATCCGCGGGTGTAAAATTCCGGCCGCGAACAAACTGTTGGCCACTCAGGTTACTACGTCTTAGTGACGTCAGCTTTGCCCAGGGTGTAAAATTCCAGGGGGATAAAATTTCGGCGACCCGGTACAAAATGTTTGATAAAGAAATTGCAAAATGTTATGTGTTTAAGGGCAAGATGAGAAAATACCATTTTTACCCTATAAAACCCCCATAAACCCTCAGATAATATTTTCTCTAGTTATCATGCCAACGGACATATACACATATTGAATGGATGACGTTTAGGCTTCTGGGGACCAAAAAACAAAAAAGTAAATTGGTTCCGGGTTCAGGTCTCACCATGAGACCTACGGTAATAGCTTATTCCTTATATGGGATATTAGTTAACAGGATTTTTCACTAGAAGTGATTCTTGACTTTGTATTAAAAAATATATATATAGATGGTCTATCCAAAATAGATTTAGGCTTTAGTTTAAAAGCACTTATCTTCCATCTTGGTTCAAGTTTAAGGTTGTTTTGGACATTAACTAAATTATAGTGTACTAGTGGCATGTAGGGACACAAGTCCCTAAAAAGCTTAAAATGTAAAACAACTTATGATGAAACTTTAGGGAAGTAAATAAGTACTACACAGAGTATAAAAAAGTACTATGCACATTTTTACTAGCCACATTGAGTAATAGTTTATGGTTTTAGGGTTCCATTTCCCAGTTATCGATGCCAATCACGAAATTCCTTTCCATCAGAATTGACAGTTGACATGAAAATCTTTGGTTTGATTTTTTGTGTTTTCAAAAAGTCCCAATTACTGTATAGATTACGTTATCCCTGGCAATATAGTAATTTATATAATATAGTATACAAGGCATTGCAGAGATAACTGGCTAAGAAGTAAACCAACTGCTTGTGTTGAATACTGACTTGGAAATATAGCGCGACCAACTATATTAAAATAAACAAAAATCAGCTGTGTATGGCTTCCAATGCTATTCTTATGGAGAACATTTTATTTTATATCTAAATTTCAGTTACAATTTTGAAAATTCCACAATTTTTCCCGCCGTCACGGGATGGATACCTTTAATTTGAGCCCTCTCCTGTCGTCCCACAACATCCCAGTCACCCACTATTTTTACGCAAAGAATCGCCTTACGTAATTAATATATAGACTAGTGGCTTGTAGGGACATAAGTCCCTAAAAATCACAAATGTAAAAGAAATAATTGTAATATTTAAACAAACTCAGAATCAAATTATTCATGTGTCAGGATGGATATCCCAGTATAACATATCTTTTTTGTAAAAAATAGTTTGTTGTTTGTCTTTGTTTGCTTTTGTTGATGTTATTTTCAATAAATAATTTGAATTTCTTCAGAGGTTTAACCTTTGACTATTAATACAAATATTAATACTTCTGTATCCAATAGTCAATGGTTAAACTCTGCTAAAGACATTAAACATGTTTGTGAATAAATATTGGCTTATAATGGTAGGTTTGATCTTTTGGTTAATGATGATAAAAAGGCTTCCTAGGTTGAAATATTTGAAATTGTCTTCGTAAAATATGAAGGGCAAATAAAGGTGTTGAGATAAGCTAAATTCTTGGTCAAAACCGATAAATTAGCACCCCGGCCCAGTTATTATTTTTGATTTCATGCTCCTTTTGTAAAGGTTTAACAAAATTAGTGTAAAGTATAGGCATCCCATTGACAAAACCTAACGCTAAATTTGTTTTTGATGAGCATAAAAAACTACCATTAGCCTAGTGTAAGATTATGTGGTGGCCATTCCTTATGAAGGTGCGATTGACTTCACATATTCTATCAAAAAATGGCCTAATCAACGCTGATTCCTAACTATTTTGCAACTGGTTAGGGTTCCATTACCCAGTTATCGAAACCAATCACGAAATTACTTTTTCATCAGCATCTTCGACATGCATATTTTTGGTAAGTTTTAAGAAACGGAAACTACTTCTAGGTTTTACTGTTATATATGGATAGTCCCTTTACTACCGTGCATGCTAGGCTATTATTATAACATTTTTTTCTTGGAGCAACAGTCAGTACCTCGTTAAAATGTCCTCTAAAACATATGTTTCCCCCCCTTGGAATTTTTTTAATGAACTAACTTAAAGGAACAACTTAATGAACAAAAATATTGACTGTACGAACATAGTTCATCTTTATTTCAAGGTTGTTTTCTAAGAGTGGCCGTTGAGGTTATTCCATTTCATACAAAATATTGATTAAACACTACAATAATCTCAAATTAAAAATGTTAGTTAATATAAAAAAATGTGTAGCATAAATCTTTAACATATGTTTTGAAATCAAAACAAAGCAGAAGATTTCCATTTTATCTTAAATAGTTTATTACTTACTCAATGTGGTTATTTAATGTCAAACATTCCTTCAACACTGCAATAACCTTCAAATTAGAAGAAAAAATTTCCCATGGTTTTATATAGTATGTACAGTACATTGCAGAATTGACTGGCAAATGAATAATCCAGAAATTTCATATTGCTTACTGGCTTGATGATAAATCACGATCAGCTGTATTGAAGTAAACAGAAATCAGCAGTAAATGACTTCTAATGCTATTCTTATGGAGAACATTTTAAGTTATATCTAATTTTGTATTAAAATTTGGGGAATTTCACTATTTTTCCCGCCGTCACGGGGTCGAGACCTTTAATTTGAGCCCTCTCCCGCCGTTCTACGACTTCCCAGTTGCCCACAATTTTGACGCAAAGAATCGGCTTACGTAATTAATATATAGATAGAATAGATTTATAAGGTCAATAAAGACATAATTACATAAGAGATATTCTTTAATAAAGTTTTAAATGTACAGAAGTAGAATGCTAATGCATTATTGTATAAAATAATATAAATGTGTATAATACAAAAGTAGAGAGAGTACAGAAGAGAGTGTGACTGACTGAAAAAACATTACTATGGATATAAATAAATACATATTTCAATTCACAGACAATACTTCCCTTATGGAACAATACTAAATAGGTAAAAAACGCCTATTACAATTTATGTAATGTGGTATTGCAATTTATTCTAAAGGACATAACATTTATTTACAAATTACCACCCTGGAGTGTTATGTTGTAAAACAAGATGTTTGTCATGTATTTTTCAGTTTTATAAATACTTTTTACTGTTAAATGAGTTTATAATAATATTGTATTAGAGTAAGTACAAAATTGGTACAAGCTTAGAATAGAGCCAAGTTGCCAGCCAAGCTTTGGCATTGTCAGATTGAATCATCTAAATTTTCACTGGAAGCTACCTTTGATAGTCTTTGTAGGTGATGGTGGCGGTACAGTGTTATTTTCTTTCATTTCTTTCAAAGCAGACCTGAAATAATAACAGATTAATAACACTCGGTCACAATATTATTTAACACAAATTACCCTGATAATTGGGTTCCACAATAACAGCAAAATCATGACTAAACATGAGCTAATATTAATAGCTTAGTATTAAATAAATAAATTTGCCAAGTTTGATAAAATATATCTCTATAAACAAGCAAACTACAACATTTGACAATATTCTCCATAAAAATTACATGGGAATTTTAAATTTTTTTTTTTAATTTTCTCCGTTACCAATAACCGGACAAAAACACTTTGAGATATATACTAAATTTTTTTTTTAAGCTCTTAAAAAAGGTCAAGAGAGAAAATGTGAAATTTTGTGTTTTAAGGGTCAATAATTAGAAAAACCAATTTTTACCCCATAAAACCCCGTTCCTATGGTCCGATCATGCTGGTTCGCAAACTAATTCAAGTTTATCCCGCCTTTAAACCAAATTTCATCAAAATCGGACAAAAATTACTCGAGTTATCGCGTTCACGGACACATATAACATACTAGCAGAATACCTGTCCTTCGTACGGGGTTAGCGTATAAGTATAAAAATATCGAATATTCGCACAATATCACAACATTATTCATAAATTAAAAACATAAACTTGACTTTAAACAATCCTACTTTAACAGTTCTAATTGTGCATCACAGCTTTTTGTTGCGGCTTGATTCAAATTAGCTATGTTGTCATAAATGAAAATAAAACAATAGTGCTGCACCCTGTTGGCCAACCTTATAACTTTTAATAATATTGAATATCATAGAACAGCTTGTGTAATTGAAACAGCTGGCAAAATTCTTTAATCCCTTTAAAATATGAATACTCATAAGGTCAACATGGGAAACTCCAGAGCCACTGGGGCGGAGCCCGAAAGGATTTTTGGGATAAGAATATGTCTATATGTTAATCGGGATCGTGTGCTATCATCATACCAAATTTCAGCACAATCCGACCAGTAGTTAAAACGTGATTGAACTTTAAACAAACAAACACACAAACTTTCACATTTATAATATTAGTAAGAAATACAAATTTGAACAAATGGTGTTTTTGGCCTCTGGGGACATCAAAATGAAAAAGTAAATCGGTCCCGGGTCTAGGTCTTACCACCTACGGTAATAGCTACTTCCCTATAGGGAAATTCGCTAAAAATGCAAATACTTTTGAAGGAAATGTTGGAACAAGTAAGTATTTTTAACACTGACGAACGAGACAAAGAGGAACCGGGAAGCAGTGAACAATCTACATTGTTGACTCCACCAGCCCACAGCATCAGTCCAGATTTACAGTCCACTGATACAATTTGACCTTGAACTTCATGTGTCTTGTAGCCAGCCGTTAACATGACGCTGAGTCAACCGTCCTTCAGACAACCCCAGAAGAAGAAAGCGACTAAAGTTGTGGTATGGTTATGGCCTATCATGTGTCCAGTGAATCAATGAAAGTTTAATACAATACCTACACCTAAAAAGATCTCTTGAATAGATTTTAGATAAAAAATGTTTTTAGTAAAATTAACTTAGAAAATAGTCAAACCTTTGTGATCGAGGCAGTTTGGAACCGCCATCACGCTCTTCAAGTTCTTTGATCTTCTGATTGCGGGTCTTGCACAGGGCCTTCAGTATATGTATTTCCTTGGTCTTCTCCTGAAGCTGTTGTTGCAAGGAGGAGTCTACAGTTGAGCTGAGACTTCTGCAACGTTCACAATCAGCTCGTAGACCTACAGTAACGTCACACATCTGCTCCTGGTATCTCCGCACCTCAGACTTCAGCTCATTTATCTATAAAGTTAAGGTTTAAATTTATCAGAGTAATTTGATAGATTTGTTATCTAACTTGGCAACTATGCTTAAAGACTGAATGAGTCTAAATTGAAACTGCTTACAAACATACTGGCTTGGACAATGAATGTCAAACTATTTAGCCAGTTAGCTATTATAGCATTTATAAAATCTTCTGGTGAGCTACAAAAAAAAAAAAAAAAAAACCGAGCCCAAAAAGTACGCAAAATGAAATTATCTATTGGCCTAGATTTACGGAACTGTCCCATGCAGCAGCCACTTGCCCCGATATTAGGCTTCCATTCCCGATAGTAATGGTTTTGTTTATAATAAACACAATGTTCTCTACAGCGCTGGCGTACTTATAGCTCGTCTGGATGCTGCTAGATAGTGTGGGTAGTATTGTCAGAAATGATGCTTAGTTTGTTAAAAATATTGCATAAATAACATTTAAATAATTTTAAATATGGACAGACCTGTGCATAAAAAATTTGATGCGCTTGCAGAACTTAGTGTTTTTAAAGCTTTTTAAAGCTAAAATAACTATAATATAAACATTTTTTTATTGGTTTCGTTTTCACAGAAGTGGCATTTACTGTTTTAGTGGTGTCAGCACTGGCAAAGATTAACCTTACCGTCTATAAAACATTTATTTGTTTTGTTCGATTGTTTCCTGGTTTTGTTTACTTTGTGTGAGTGATGTTTTTTTGCTTCACTATGTCATGTTTTGTTTGGATATACTGTATTATTTTATTTAAATGGAACGAGACATTAGGAGTTCTGAAATAGATCTAATGCTTTAATTACGAAGACGACTTCATTCCACATGAGTACCGGGACAATGACATTGATACAACTCAATGCCATAATGACGAACACGTTGACCGCCGTAGTGACGAATGCGTTGATAATGACAAAACTAAATTTGAAAACGAAGAAATTGATGTTAGTGATAGGCAAATTAATGGTTCTGTTCAAGAACCAGATTATATGGAAGTTGATCAAGTAGGTCATGAACTCACAGGGTGTCCACAGAAAATTTGTCATTAATTTCCATGACTATCCATGACCATTTACCATTGATTTCCATGACTCACGAACTTTACTCAAATTATAATACAACATACACACACGAATAAAACTGCCTAGATTTCGCAGAAACTACTGAAATATGTATTAACAGATAACAATGGAGTACAATGGTACAACAATGAACTAATACAAACTCAAAACTCATAAACTAATACAACTGTAATAAATTGAATCGTTGAACATTTGTGAAAAATTTTGAAAAATGCTACAGTAGTCGGAGTTACTGCCGACTAGAGCATTGAATAGTCCCCTCAAATCATCCATCATTGGGAATTTCCATGACTTTCCATGACCTTTTGCCTATTTCCATGACTTTCAATGACCGGATTTTTTTTCCGTGACTTTCCATGACTATCCCTGACTTCCCAGAATGTGGACACCCTGACTCATTACTATTGATGAAAACACACTTTTGTGTGGGGTCATTGTAGTCCTAGTGTAGAAATCACAAATAATCCCAACCAGAATTTACGATCAGATTTTTCAAGAAAAGCCTAGTTGTTTATTTCACAACCAAGCCGTGGTGATTGGTGAAAAAAGTAAGCCTCATCTACAAAAGCGAATAATGAAAAAGCCTCGTAGACCAAATGAAATGGACTGTATGGGGGCATTTCTCTGCCAGGAGATCTGGGTTAGGATATGGTGTGTACAGAGACTAATGAACACTCAAAAACAATCGTTGGATGAAAGCTGAAAGTCTCTGAAATCAGATGAAAAGTGGCGAGAAGTAGGCTCTGATGAGCTGAAAGCATATGCTATAATATATCCTTAAGGGACAGGCAAACAAAACTCTCAATACAATCTTACTGGTCTCATTGGACAATATTTGAGACACCAATCTTTTCTGAGACAATGCCAATGGTAGTCCGTCAGCTAGCTATACTGTAGTGTGCAAACTTGCGTATACTATATATTCTTGCATTTTAGTTTAATGTCTAGGGAGTTTAAAAAACCTATGTGTTTCCCTCCTACCCCCCACGTTTTCCGGCTATGACGTCATCAATATGGCGGCAAAGGATTTCTTTCAAAGTATATATTTCGCATACTATTTGTCTGATCGGGATGATCTTTTTTTTGTTTGAAAGATAAGTTTACATGTTATCTTTCATACACTTAGGCTACACATTTGTTGTATGTTTAGTAAATTTTTTGCAACTTAGCAAGAACCCTTGTTTTTGAATATTTTTGTGTTATTTTTGTTAATAACGTTTACAATATATCGGAAACAACCTATGGAAAAGGTTGTAGAACGTTTAAAGAGCTTTACAAAAATACCATATTCGATATGCTTTACTCAAAAGCTTAAGTCAAGAAACTAGATCAATCTCACAAAAACACCTAATTTGGTACAAAAACGCCTATTAGTCCGACATCTAGGGCTGTGTACAAGTCATATATAGAAAGTTTTACCATTTAATGTTGGTGTAGGTGTCTAAAGAAGTGTTTTTAACTCGGGTGTCAAGTCTGCACCCACTGCATTTCCCGGTTATGACGTCATCAAAATGGCGGACAGGCCTATATTTAAAACACCTATATTTTACATACCATGTATCGGATCGGGATAAACTTTTTTTGTTTGAAAGATAAGTTTACGTGCTATCTTTCTTACATTTACAAATTTTTTGTATGTTTGTTTAGTACATTTTTCGTAATTTAGCAAAAACTTGTATTTTTAAATATTTTTGTGTTAGTTAAAACTTTTCTTTTTTTTATACATAGCCTGCATACAATTAGTTTCCCAATGTGTATTAACTAGTAGTGATAATGAAGTTAATAATGGTATTATTGCCTACTTATAACCTTAGAGAATAATAATACAATGCGTCCATGAAAACTATATGTAAATGCAATTGGTTTTAATTGGTTTAATATACGTTTTAAAAAGTTGACCAACTATCTCAATCAATTACAATGCAAATATAGCTGATAAAAGATTTCTGTTCCCTTTAATATTAAAAATGATGGATAGCGACTGGTTTTAAATATTTTGATTTTCCAAACTCTTAGCTTGAATTTTTTAACATTACCTTATGTTTAGCTTGATCCAATGACTTTTCAAGATCAGCTACCTTCTTCTTGAGGGGGAAGTTATCAGCTTCAAATTGCATCTCCAAAGCAGTGATTTTTGCATTTCGTTCAGCCAATTCCACTCTCAACTCTGACAAGCGGGACTTGAGTTCATCACATTGACACGGCCCTTCAAAAGAAATATAGAGGCTACAATCAGTTATAATCCACATGTGGAAATGTCAAGCACAAGATTAATGAGTTAAGGAAGTTATTTTTGGTCTTCTGATTTTTTAATTCAACTTTCACTATCATTTAACAATCAAATAATCCGGTATCAGACTGTTAAATAATCATCCATCTCTTTCAGTGTCCACTAAGCTAGCTTAATTTCTGGTTTTTAAAGGAGAGAAACACCCAGCATCTATACAAAAATATTTGTTTGACAATAGAATACATATTGTATGGTTCAGGTTCTTGCTAGACTTGTGTATGGTTATCCACAGTTCACATAATCCTATACTCTAATATGAGCAATGTTTGCTTGTATGTATGTATGTAAGTATATATCTATGCTTGCTTGCACAAAGGTCTCAAAAACAGCTTTGACGATTTTGTTCAAATGGTTAAATAGTTTATTTCTGGTCTAAAAACGAGTTTACTGCTGTTAGAACTGTCAACAAAAATCTAATTACGTAGAAAAATGAAACTGAAAGTCACATTTTTTTTACATTAGTCTTATGGGTTGCTAAGTAACCATGTCGGTTGAATTAAATAACAAGGAAAAAGTGAACAAAAGACTTGTAAGTTGTTCATGTGTTGAACATGTGAACATGTGTTCATAATAAGCCATATACACACAGTACACTAGCAAATTACAAAATACAGTACAAAAGGAAAAATATCACTTGTTACTATTGAGCAAAGTTATACTGAAGATTACTCGATACAGTAGACCCTTAACCGATCCTATTGGGACCGGACCTAGGTCGGATAACTCAAAAGGTCGGTTATAACGGGCAATCCCTAAAATCATAACATAATGAAGTGCTATTCATTTGGAACTATATAATCATTATTTTGAAGTCATACTTGCATTATTTATAAAATAAACTACTCTTTCTCCTTTTTCGTATTGATAGAAAAGTAAAAAAATAAACACAAAACACGATTAGGCCAAATAGGCCTACTTTCAGTGGAATATAGTACTAACTAGGCAAGAGTCAATAAAAATTCCCATTTTAATAACTTTAGTACTGTAATGTATTAACTGATGCTTTCCAAATCCATACAGTACAGAACCTTTTGTCAAAATTAAAGATACAAGCAACCATTTTGTTACAAGACAGGATGTTTATTTATAGCCTCTCATTGGAGGCTCGAGGCACAAACACTATCTTGACCTTGGAGTTGTTAACCCCCCTTCCCTGCCCTCCCTACAAGTTGCGTTGTTTGTTTACTCCAGCGATAAGATAATCAGTTCTCAAAATTGTAACTCACTTTACGATGTTATAAATTTTCCGCAAAGATAACAGACTGAAAATATGCTATATTTTTTGTGATCAATACAAAATAACTTAATCTTAGTCTTATACTGTGGATATAAGCGTATGGTTCAGTTCTCATTGCCCAGCGTGGGAGCGGAAAAATCGAGATTCCTAGAAGGCGGCGATTAAACCGAACTGCTCTCAAAGCAAGGTCGGTTAAAACAAACTGTATTATTTTACGATCGTAGGCGGATAATCCGATTATCGGTTAATATGAGGTCGGTTAAGAGGGGGTCTACCGTACATTGTAGTAGAGGCTAGCAGTGCAGAGTGTGGGATCTGTTTATGACGATTAGGCCTACATTAAGGTATCTGCAATCCTAAAATGCTATGGGAAGGGAAGGAAACTGGTCCGCGATGTAGTAAGGGGTGAAAGAAGTAGAAAAGGCGAGCTGTCTGGAGTGTGGGATCTGTTAATGACGATTAGATTAAGGTATCTGCAATTCTAAAATGCTATGGGAAGGGAGGGAAACAGGTCCGTGCCGTAGGAAGTGGTGAAATAAGTAGTAAAGGCGAGTAGTCCGGAGTGTGGGAACTATTTATGACGATTAGATTAAAGTATCTGCAATCCTAAAATGCTATGAGAAGGGAGGAAAACAGGGTCGCGCCGTAGGAAGTGGTGAAGGAAGTAGTAAAGGCAAGCAGTCCGGAGTGTGGGAACTGCTTATGACGATTAGATTATGGTATCTGCAATCTTAAAATGCCATCGGAAAGGAGGAAAACAGATCCGTGACGTAGGAAGTGGTGAAAGAAGTAGTAAAGGCGAGCAGTCTGGAGTGTGGGAACTATTTATGACGATTAGATTAATGTATCTGCAATACTGAAATGCTATTAGAAGGATGGAAACATGTCCACGACATAGGAAATGGTGAAAGAAGTAGTAAAGACTAGCAGTGCGGAGTGTGGGGAATGTTTTCTGGCAATTAGATTAATATATCTAAAATACTAAAATGCTATGGAAAGAGATGAAAACAGGTCCACGACGTAGGAAGTGGCATAGGAAGTAGTAAAGTTTAGCATCACAGAGTGTGGGAAACGTCTTTGGCAGTTAGATTAATGTATCTTCAATCCTAAAATGCTATGTGAAGGGAAGGAAACAGGCCCACGACGTAGGAAGTGGTGAATGAAGTAGTAAAGGCTGGCGTCGCAGAGGGGGGGAACCGTTTGTGGCAATTAGATTAATGTATCTTTAATACTTAAATGAAATGCTATGAGAAGGGAAGGAAACAGGCCCTTGACGTAGGAAATGGTGAAGAAAGTAGTAAGGCTAGCAGTACAGAGTATGGGAACTGTCTGTGGCAATTACATTAATGTATCTGCAATCCTAAAATGCTATGGGAAGAGAGGGAAACAGGTCTACGTCGTAGGGAGTGGTGAAGGAAGTAGTAAAGGCGAGCAAATTGAAGTTCAGGAATGGATTAATGTATCTGCAATACTAAGACTGCTTTCAAAATAAACTAATGATTTTCCCCAAGCAAAGCTCGATCCCCAGGTACTTAGCAATAATCAAAAAATATTGTAAAAGAATAGTATTAAATAACTTACCATGAGAGGACATTAGGTTCTCCTGAGAAATAAGTTTTGATCTGGTAATTTGTAGCTCCTCTGACACAGATTTTAGTTCAATTTCAAGCTCTCTCTGCCTATTCTTCAGATCAGACACAGAAACAGCTTCTCTCTTTAATACGTCCGCTAAATCCTTTTCTTTTTCTTTATAAGCTTTAAACATATCTTCACATTCTTTATCAAGACTAGCATATTCTTCTTGTGACTCGGCAATCTTTTCCTTCAATGATTGGTTCTCTGATATAATTGATTTGAGAAGATTGACAGAATCTTTCAATGAAACTGGATTCTCTGGGAATATTTCAAATAATTCTTTGAGATCATAACCGATCAAACTCGGGACATTATTGGTTTGTATTTGGTTGGCAAGCTTAAGCTCTAACTCTGTATTTTGCTTCTTCAATTCTTCTTCTCTTTGGAAGACAGAAGCTAACAGCTCTTTCTGTTCTTCTATGTGTTTGTTCATCATTTCACATTCTGTATCTAAATCTTTATTTTCTTGAGAAAGCTCCTCAATTCTTTGCTTTAAGTCCTCAATTTCTGGATTGTCAGAAACCAAAACTTTCTTACTACCTTCAACTAATGTTTTGATTTTTAATAAAATCTCACTCATTGACAGATTTTGACCAGGGAACAAGCTTTGTAACTCTGATTTCACCTCTTTGAAATTCTGAATGTCCAAAACAGCTTGAGCGGTTGAGACCAACTGTTTTTTCAGTTCCAGTTCTCTTTTCATTATTTTGGATATTTTATCTTCTTGCTTTTTTATATATTCCTTTGACTTTTCATATTCATGTTTCAAGGAACAGAAATCGTCATTAAGCAGATTATGTTTGGCATTTAATATATCATGTTCAGCTAGTTTCTTATTTAAATATTGCACCTGCTTATCCACAGTGTTAATCCCAAAAGGAAAGCTGATCTTTAAAGAACTAATGACATAATGGTTTTCCAACCTTCTTTCGAGGGCATCAATTTTATCTTCCAACTGGAAGTTCTTCTTTGATAAATCAGCAACTTGATTATTGGCAAAATCATATTGTGCCTTCAGTTCAGCATTATTTTTTTTCTCAAATATGATACAACTGCTTAGTTCTTCAATTTCCCAAGATTGTTTTCTGTTTACTTCTGTGAGATACGTAACTTTTGTAGCCTCACTTTGAAGCTTTACATTTTCTTCTTTGAGTTTACTGATTTGATACGTCATATCTTCCATTTCTGTACATTTAATATTTGATCCATCATTATTCTTTAACTGTTCAATAGTTTCAGTCAAATGTGATATGGTGGCATTTTTTGAAGCAATTTCTTCTTTAAACTGAAGTGAATCTTCATCATACAAAATTTTACATGATTTAAGTTCTTCATTCATATCGTTGATTTGAGTTTCAAAGGATTTACTGATTTCGATTTGCTTGGACAGCTCATGATTAAGAGTTTCATTACAAGTCTTCAATTCTGTCAACAAGTTGACAAACTTAGAACTGATCAATTTTATTTTGCCACTGAAAAATTGACTATTTTCCAAACGACCAATAATAAAATTCAGATCTCCATCTTGTGAAATATTGGTTATGAGAACATCAAAATCATTCTCAATTGAGGTAAGGCTGTCTACTAAAGGCGTCATTTCTCCTATTTTTTCAAGGTACTGAGAAATCACAGTGTCTTTCTCCTTTAGATTTTCTGTTAACTGGCTGACTTCTTTTGTTTTTTCATCAAGTTGTAAATTAAGTTGCAAAATGTGATTGTGTTTATCATTTAATGACACAGTTAGTTCATCCAACATATCTTTTTGTTGTTTTGAAATTCCACAATCATCTTTTGATCGTCTCAACAGGTTAGCAGCTTCAAATCGTACACTTTCCAATTCACCTTTCAGTTGTAAAATTTCATCATTTTTACAACCAATTTCATCAGTGAGAACTAATATCTTTTCTTCAAGCTGGGTCTTATCATGCTTTGTACGGTTCATCTCGTCAATCAATGACTCTTTTTCCTTCTCAGCAGTTGCTTTTGTTTCTTCAAGTTCATGTACAAAGCAACTCATTTCACTTTTTAATGCAGAGAGCTCACTATCCAAACTTGATATATAAGTGTCCTGGTTGTTCAGTTCAATCTTGCGTTCTTGCACTTCATTTTCCAACTTGGATATCAAATCTTCTCTCTCAACGAGATCATTTTGTAAACATGCAAATTTATTTTCAAAATCATTTTGAAGAGCAAAAATGACTTCTTTTTCCTTGTTTAGGAATTCTTTCATCAATTTTTGGTAAACATCAATAAGTGGTTCCATTGACGATTCCCAAATTTCACCAGTTAAAGAGTGAATTTCTTTTGACATAATATCTTTTAATTGTAAACTGTCTTTGAGTTTTATATCTAACTGATTATGTTCATTGCTTATTGCTTCAATAGTTTCATTTAAGGTCTGTACTTCCATTTCAAGTTTTAAATTTTCATGTTGCAACGATGCTTTGGTGTTTTCACAAATCTTATGAGTTTCAGCAATATTTGAAAGACTTTCAACCTTATTTTCCAATTTAGTTATATATAGTTCATTATCCAAAGCTGTAGTGAGTTTGTTTTCCAGTTCCAATTTTTGTCCCATTAGTGAGCTAATTTCAAGTTTTAACTTTTGTTCAGCTTCCAACAGACCAGAAACATTTCGTTCACTGTTTTGAAGTGTTCCCTGCAAATCGTCAACGTTTTGGTTTAACTTTATGATTTCACATTCTAAACCACTAATTTGCAGTAAAATTGCATCTATACATCCATGCAAAGAAGACAGCTGCATCTTGCTTTCAAAATCCGTGTTTAATAATCTATTTTTGAGACTCTCTGTTGCATGAGAAACAATTTTTTCTAATGACATCTTTTCTTCTATTAATTGCCTATGTTGATGTTCTAGATTGTCACTTTCCATGGACAAGAAATCATTTTTAACCATTTCACTCAGTAACTCTTCATTTAGACTCGATATATGGTCTTCTAGGTCCGTAATCAATTCTTGAAAGTAGTTATTTCTTTCCCTTGATGAATTAAGTTCTTCTGTTATAAGAGATATTTTACTTTGGACAAATAAAAGCTGATCATTATTTTGACAAAGTTTGCTCTCAAGTTCACTGATAGTTGTACTTTGAAATTGATTTTTGGATAGTTCACTAAATAATTCTTCATTCATACTACATAGATGCTCCTCTAGGCTTCTAGAAAGATCACACAACTCATCAATAGTTCTTTCGTTGTTTTTAACATTATCAAGTTGCTCTTTTAAAATTGACATTGACTGAAGAAGTTCTAAATTTTTCTGCTCTACACTGTATTTTTCAGCAGTTAAGAGTTCTAAACGATCAGCCATTTCTGAGCAATGTTTTTCTTGCTCTGACAGCAATTGTCTATCTGTCAATAAACTACTTACAGCTTCGCTAAGGCTACTCATGTTTTCTAGCATACTTGTTTTCTCTTCTTCGTATACATCAAGTGATTCACTAAGTTCACTTATCTTTATTTTTAATTTAACTTTTTCATCTTTCAAAGGTACCAATTCATTGAACTGATCTTTGTAATCATTCAATTTAGTTGTGAGTAAGGTTATAGTTTCTTTCAGGTTAACTACAGCAACTGCCAGACTTTCCTTTTCTAAGTGTACACTGTCAAATAACACCTTCTCTTCTAAAACCACTTCCTTCATGGTTTTAAGTTCCTCTGAGAGTTTCTTTCCTTCAGATTCAGCAACCACAATTTCCTCAGAAAGATAGATATTTTCTAGAAAAACACTGTTGAGGTACTCGCTCATACCACTAAGGCTTTCCACCACACTAACCCTTTCAAGGTTCAATTCTTCATTCAGTTCTTCAAGATGCTTTGTTATTTCTTCCACATTGTTTTGTAACAATGCATTTTCTTCATCAAGTTTTCTTATTTCTGCGTCTCCTTCATTTAGTTTATCATTCGCTTTTATTAAAGAACTTTTGAGTTTTTTCTTATCAGCTGTTAAGCAGCGAATCTTTTCAGTCAGCTCGTCAACAAGATGTTCATTGTCTGATTTTAGGGTTTCAATATCTTGTATTTCTCTTTTCATTCGAGCAAGCTTTTCTTCTAGTTGGAGTTTCTCTTCCTTTAGTGTATGTAGACTTTGTTCTTTAGAAGAGGTTACTTTTAACTCATTCCACAAAAGATCATTTTGTGCTGTAAGGTCTTGAATTTTAACTTCCAATGAAGTCTTAACATTCATAATTTCTTTCAACCTTTCATCCCTTGCAGTTATTTTTAAATTAAGTTGTTCAATTTCAATTTCATTGTCTTTGAGATTGTCTAATCGATGTTCAAGGGAATCAATAGTGCTTTTTAAATCTGAATTGATGTTTGTGAAAACCTTAATTTGGCAGTCTTTTTCATTTATCTCATGACTCAGTTTTGATATATTTTCAACGTGCAAAGAAATGAGCTCCTCAAGTGACTTATTTCGCACTAGTACCTCCTCCCTATTATCCTTGGTTTCCTGGATATCAGATTTCAATTTATGATTTTCCTCTTCTACATGTTGCAGTTTTTCTAAAAGCTTGTTCAAAGAGAATATAGTTTCCTCATGATAAGCTTTATTTTTAAGGAGCTCTTGAATTTGTCGTTCTTTCATACTTAAATCCACACTGACATTAGACAACATAGTATTTTGTTCACAAATTTCATTCCTCTGTTCTTCCAACAGGATTTGTAGTTTTTCTATCTCGTTGTTCTTCTCTTGCTCTAATTTCAAAATATGGTTTAAGTAATCATTTTCCTGTTTTAACTCATCAAATGTTTCTAAACTGCTGCTCAGAACAGATAGCTCTTCCTTGAGTAGTAAGTTGTCATTTGTTAGCTCTTGAATCTGTCGCTCTTTAATGTGTATATTTCCCATTAAAGTTGATAGTTCCTGGTTTTTGGTTTTAAGATCAGTGACAATGTGGTCTATATTCAACAATTCATATTCTAATTTTTGGATCTTGTTCTGTAGACTTGCTATCTCATTTTCATTCGCTATTCTTTCTTTTACTGATCTACCAATCAGTTCATTGTGTTCAGATTTAAACTTGACAAATTCACTTTTTATACTTTTTAAACCATCTAATTCTTTTGCAAGCTTTTCATTTTCTTTTTTAAGTTCAACTATCAGATCACAATCCTTCATCGATTTGTCAAATACGCTTTCCAAATAACAACTTTCTTCTTTCAAATCTTTAGTCTGGACAGTCTGTCTTAAAAGATCTTGTTGAAGTTTTTCATTATGGACTTTAAGCTTATTTATATAAATATCTTTTTCATTGCACGTTTCAATAAGGGAAAGGTTTTTTTGTTTCAAAAGTTTTATATCATTGTGATATTGAACTGGCCATTCCATTAACAAAACATTCTCAGTTTGTAGTTCACACTGCTTTTGTGAGTCAACATCATCAATGTTTACATTAGAAACCCCGCAAGAATCTGGTATTATTAATTCTAGAGAAAGATTAGTAACATAGTTACTCATGGATTGTTGCATCATTACATGATTTATTCTGTCCATTTGTTCTGAATCATACTGAAATTTGGATGAATAATCAACACTTGGTGATATTATTTTTACCCTATGACTCTCTTCAGAAAGTTGACTTTCACTTTCGTTTGAATAACTTTTATTTTGGTGCTGTTTGTCAAACTTACATTCTGCTTGTTTTTTCATGCCGCTAAAGCTTTGATCAATCCTGGCATCATTTGTGTTAGCCATAGTAATTTCCATGAAACTTTGTAAACCATTCTCAGTTAAAGAATAATTGTTGGCATTAGTTACAAATGAAGGAAAATAAATAGCCTCATGTGTTTTCTGATCACTAACTGCTGTAAAATTATTAGTTTCCTTGATGTCAATATTATCTAACAAATCAGTCAACGTTTCTGATAACTGATTTAAAGATGATTCCTCGCTTCCTTCTCTTGATTCACCTGTGAGTACGTTGTTTGATAGTGCATATGAAGTTGTTAATGACATGTCAAGTGTCTGGTATGAGTGATTTGATGTTTCAGAATCAAAAGCAGCAATTTCTTCAGTTGCTTCTTCACTAATTGAACAGTTGATATTAATGTTGATTTCTGGAAGGGTGTCAGGTATTTTCACGTGATTGCCATTTGAAAGATTGCTACAATCCTGTTCGCTCAAAGATCTGCCCTCTTTAAAGTCCTTAGGGATTAATGTTTCCACTTGAGAACAGTTCACACTATCTCCATGACCAACTTCTTGGTCTTGGTTATTTCCTACATCAAAGTCAATTTGTTGGACTTGTTTAGTTCCTACCAAATCAAATTCAATTTCTGAGTCTTGTTTAGATCCTTCTAGACCAGGGTCGATTTCTTGGACTTGGTTGGTTTCTTTAACACCAGATTTAATTTCTTGAACTTGATTAGTTTCTTTTGAATCTGATTCAATGTCTTGGACTTGGTTGGATTCTTCTACAGAGTCGATTTCTTGGACTTGATTACTTCCTTCTACATCTGAGGCGATTTCTTTGACTTGGTTAGTTCCTTCTACACAAGAGTAAATTTCTTGGACTTGATTGGTTCCTTCTACACTGGAGTTGATTTTTTGGACTTGGTTGGTTCCTTCTACAACAGAGTCGATGTCTTGGTCTTGGTTGGTTCCTTCTAAATCTGAGTCAATGTCTTGGACTTTGTTGGTTTCTTCTACAGAGTTGATTTCTTGGATTTCATTACTTCCTTCTATATCTGAGGCGATTTTTTTGACTTGGTTAGTTCCTTCTACACCAGAGTCGATTTCTTGGACTCGATTAATTTCTTCTACACCAGATTGGATTTCTTGGACTTGGTAAGTTCCTTCTACATCTGAGTCGATGTCTTGGACTTGGTTGGTTTCTTTTACACCAGAGTCGATTTCTTGGATTCGGTTAGTTCCTTCAACATCTAAGTCAATTTCTTGGACTTGGTTAGTTCCTTTTAGATATGAGGCGATTTCTTTGACTTGTTTTGTTTCTTCTACACCAGAGTCAATTTCTTGGACTTGGTTGGTTCCTTCGACATTAAAGGCAATTTCATTGATTTGGTTTGTTCCCTCTACACCAGAGTCAATTTCTTGGACTTGGCCGGTTCCTTCTAGATCAGAGTAGATTTTTTGGACTTGGTTTTCTTCTAAACCATAGTCGATTTTTTGGATTTGGTTAGTTCCTTCCACTTCAGATTGAATTTCTTGGACTTGTTTAGTCCCTTCTACACCAGCGTTGATTTCTTGGTTTTGGTTCATTCCTTCTAGATCACAGTCGATTTCTTGGACTTGATAAATTTCTTCTACACCAGATTGGATTTCTTGGACTTCATAAGTTCCTTCTACGTCTGAGTCGATGTCTTGGACTTGGTTGGTTTCTTTTACACCAGAGTCGATTTCTTGAATTCGGTTAGTTCCTTCAACATCTAAGTCAATTTCTTGGACTTGGTTAGTTCCTTTTAGATCTGAGGCGATTTCTTTGACTTGGTTAGTTCCTTTTAGATCTGAGGCGATTTCTTTGACTTGGTTGGTTCCTTCTACATCGGAGGCGATTTCATTGACTTGGTTTGTTCCCTCTACACCAGAGTCAATTTCTTGGACTTGGCCGGTTCCTTCTAGATCAGAGTAGATTTTTTGGACTTGGTTTTCTTCTAAACTATAGTCGATTTTTTGGATTTGGTTAGTTCCTTCCACATCAGATTGAATTTCTTGTACTTGTTTAGTCCCTTCTACATCAGAGCTGATTTCTTGGTTTTGGTTCGTTCCTTCTAGATCACAGTCGATTTTTTGGACTTGGTTAGTTTCTTCTACACCAGAGTCGATTTCTTGGACTTGATTGGTTTCTTCTACACCAGATTCGATTTCTTCGACTTGGTAAGTTCCTTCTACATCTGAGTCGTTGTCTTGCACTTGGTTGGTTCCTTCTACACCAGAGTCAATTTCTCGGACTTGATTGGTTCCTTCTACACTAGAGTCAATTTCTTGGACTTGATTGGTTTCTTCTACATCAGATTCAATTTCTTGGACTTGGTAAGTTCCTTCTACATCTGAGTCGTTGTCTTGCACTTGGTTGGTTCCTTCTACATCAGAGGCGATTTCATTGACTTGGTTTGTTCCTTCTACACCAGAGTCAATTTCTTGGACTTGGCTGGTTTCTTCTAAACCATAGACGATTATTTGGATTTGGTTAGATCCTTCCACATCAGATTGAATTGCTTGTACTTGTTTAGTCCCTTTTACACCAGAGCCGATTTCTTGGTTTTGGTTCGTTCCTTCTAGATCACAGTTGATTTTTTGGACTTGGTTGGTTCCTTCTACAGCCGGGTCGATTTCTTGGACTTGGTTAGTTCCTTCTAGATCTGAAGCGATTTCTTTGACTTGGTTTGTTCCTTCTACACCAGAGTCAATTTCTTGGAATTGGTTGGTTCCTTCTACATCAGAGTCGATGTCTTGGACTTGGTTCCCTTCTACACCTGAGTTAATTTGTTGAACTTGGTTAGTTTCTTCCACGTCAAATTGAATTTCTTGGTCTTGGTTGGTTCCTTCTACACCAGAGTGGATTTCTTGGACTTGGTTAGTTCCTTCAACATCTGAGTCAATTTCTTTGACTTGGATAGTTCCATCAAAACCAGAGTCCATTTCTTGGACTTTGGTTCCTTCTAAACCAGAGTTGATTTCTTGGACTTTGTTTCCTTTTAAACCAGAGTGGATTTCTTGGACTAGTTTATTCCCTTCTACACCAGAGTCAATTTCTTGGTTTTGGTTCGTTCCTTCTAAAGCTGGGTCGATGTCTTGCACTTGGTTGGTTCCTTCTACACCAGAGTCGATTTCTTGGACTTGGTTTCCTTCTAGATCTGAGGTGATTTCGTTGACTTTGTTTGCTCCTTCTACATTAGAGTCGATTTCTTGGACTTGGTTGGTTTCTTCTACACCAGATTCGTTTTCTTGGACTTGTTTAGTTCCTTCTACACCTGAGTCTATTTTTTGGACTTGGTAATTTCTTTCCACGTCAAATTTAATTTCTTGGTCTTGGTTAGTTCCTTCTATATCAGAATTGAGCATCTGTCCTGTAAAAATTTCATCAACATATCGTTCAAACTTGTGAGTTTTTTCTGTATAAGAGCTGTGTGAAAGAGACATATCATTGTGACTTTCAAGATACACAATGTTTACAACTGACTCGTGACAAAATGACTGACATTCTATTCCTTGTGTCATATCTATTCCTTTGATTTGTTCAATTTTCTCAGAAGATTGATTGTCATTAATTTTACTCAGGTTAAAGGAAACAGAAGTAGACAAATTCTGAGATTCATCAGTTAAAGTAGAATTCGTCCCTATAACATAACCATGATTGCCAAGTTCCAAAAGGTTATTTGAATCTCCATAATTACTTTCTTCTTTGTCCTTCTCAATGATATCTACATTTTCCTCCAAAATTGAATTTTCATTATAACCTATTTTGTTTGATTCAGCAAGTTGTACTCCATCCATTTTTGGAACAATGGAATCACACATGACTGACTCCACAAAATGTTGTGTGCCATCTAATAACTCAGTTTCATTTTCAACTTTGTTAGTATAAGAATAACAAGATAGACTCTTTTCTCCATTTATATTAGAAATGTCACTATGGTCATGTGTAGCACTTAATGAATCTTCTAAACTAGAATCATCATAATGTTCAGCAGACGGATAAAGAGAGTTTAAGCCAAGAGCAGCAAATTCAGACTTTAAATCTACTGCTACAGTACCGACAGAGTTATATTTAGGCATCTGATCAGTGAATTCTGTGAATGAGGCTGTAGACTTCAGTGATGTCCACGTTTTACCAGTACAGCTATAACAAAAACAACATTTCAGAGTAAAGCCAAGCAGATAAAATTATATTAAAGGCAAATGCCTTCTTATATCAAGGTTAGAATTAGCCTAACGACCTTAGAACGCACAATATTTGATACCAATAAGACTATATAAACTTTTCAGTGACATGATCATGAGATAGTTCGGCACACAATAATTTGTGCAGTAACAATTTGAGCTGGTTGCCTGCTCCCACAATATGTTCGCTATATGATTCTGCATTACCAATTTAATCATTGCCTGCAGCAAGGTGCAAAACAAAAGACAAATCTAGGGAACTTTATTTTAGTTAGGCCTGATTTTTGACGTGACTTTAGGGAACGTAAAATGAAAACCGCTACTTTTCAGTGACTTCCATGATCCCATAGTAAAATCAGTGATTTTCACTGACTACCGTGACTGGTAAACACCATGCTAAATTAATCAGGTGATCCTTGGAATGCTACCATGCTTTAAGATACAGTCCAACCTAGGTATAACGGATCTGAAGGGACCAAACTGAATATTTGTTATATCAAGGATTTTGTTAAAACGAGGTTTGTTATATTGAGGTTAGGTTTGCAGGAATTTCGCTAAGTCGAGGTTCAGAAACAAGATCTCGGCCATCAGTCCTCGGTGAATGAAATCAGTTGTGACGCGCACAGCAAAAAGATGTGGAGATGTGAAAACTGTGCAGACGAATGTTGCGCAAGCATTGACGTCATCTTACCATTTTATATTATCAAGAAAATGTGATTTTTTAAAACAATAATGTGGGAGGAGTTCATTATATCGAGGGAAAGACGCAGACAATTCGTTAAGTAAGTAGAGGTTAAATTCGCTATGTAGAGGTTCTGACAATGAAATTCGTTAAATCAAGGTTGTTGATATGCTTTGTTCGTTATGTAGAGTTAAAATATACTTCAGATATGTGGATGACATTGTGACCTTGTATGATGGCAATAGCAGGCAATTTCAACTTTTCAGCAACTACATGAACAGCTTCCATCCCAAACTAAGTTTCACAACTGAATTAGAAGCTGACAACAAACTTAATTTTTTAGATTTATCTTTAATAAAAAACGAAGAAAATATTTCATTCAACATATTCAGGAAGCCCACAACAACAGACACAACCATCCATGAAACCTCCCACCACCCTCTAGCACATAAATTGGCAGCTTATAATAGTTTTGTGCATAGATTGCTCTCAGTACCACTTAGTGCCGTAAACTTCGAGAATGAGAGAAATGTCATCAAATATATAGCTGACAATAACGGATTTAATCCTAACATCATCGACACATTAATCAGCAAACATAGAAAGAAAATTAGTAAAGAGACCGCAGATCCAAAGCCTAAATTAAAAACAGAATTTGTCTCAGTTGAATACGGAGAAAAAATCACCCACACTCTAAAAAATGAATTGAAAAAAAAAACGGAAAAACTGTAGGGTTTAGAACATCTAATAAAGTCCAAAATCTCCTTAAACCTAGGGCCCAACAAAGTGTTAAAAACCTGAGTGACAAATCCGGAGTGTACAAAATAACATGCAGTGACTGTAATAAATTTTATATTGGACAGACTGGCAGACCATTTATCAAGAGGTTTAAAGAACACCTTCCCAAAAATAGTTTAACACAGCAATCCAATTTTGCCGAGCACTTAATTAGCAGCAATCACAGTTATTCCAGCCTGAATGAAAATTTAAAACCTTTACACATTTGTAGAAAAAGTCGAGTAATGTCATCACTAGAGCAATATGAAATTTATAGCGAATCTAAAACCAGCCCCCACAACCTCCTGAACGATAAAAGTACACTACAATCCAACATATTATTCGAATTATTGTTAAATTGAATGAAACGCCACCTGTAGCTACAAAGGACAGAGACAGGAGAAAGGTCAACTCTGCAAGTAACGTCTGACCCCAGTCGAGACTCGACACACGACCGACGCGCGTCTACATGTCCGTAGGAACTAAAATAAAAGTAGGCCTACCGTGTATTTGTTTGTTTTATTCGTAATGCATATAAGTGTAAAGTTCGTGTACGTGTTTCAAAACTTCAAGACAATGGGGAAGATCAAGATCTTATATTAGGACTGATGATGGCAATTTATTCTGCCGAAATGCATATCCTGTAATAGGACACAGCACATAAGGATCGACTGGCGGACACAGGTAATTTAACCTTTTATTAAAATATACATTGGGTCTTATGGAGTGTTCTAGGGGATTAAAAAAAATTGTTATATCAAGGTTAGACTGAATTAATTTTGGCACTCCCATAGAAAAATCAGTGATTTTCACTGACTTCCGTGACTGTTAAACACCATGCTAAAGTAAACAGGTGGTCCTTGGAATGCTACCATGCTTTCAGATAATTATTTTGGCACTAACGTCTCATTACATACTACATAGTGTGTGCACCTTTGGTATTTGAAATTGACAATACTGTTGGTGCTCTGATACAAGAACTGAACACAACTGCGTCCTCAATAATTAGTATAAAGTTGAACAAAATTTTATCCAACCATAATAACTACAATTTTAAGGCATTAATCATATATCTTATACTCTAAAACAAGCATGTGCCCAGGCAAATATTTTTTATTCTAGGAATTTATATTTTAGCGAATTTCCCATGTATATGGAATAAACTATTACCGTCTCATGGTAAGACCTAGACCCTGAACCGATTTACTTTTAGGTTTTGAGGTTCCCAGAGGCTAAAAACACCTCCGTTAAAATATACATGCCATGTATTAATAGGCAAGCATCTTTCTTGAAAACCTTTTTTCTCAGCTCGTGTGCATTGCATGGAAAATCTACACGCATACTGTTAGAAGGATATTTGCCTGTAGATGTGCAGATGTGTAGATGTGAAGTTCATAGATCTTTCACCTGCCTGTAGCTTGTGGTTGTGACTTTTATGATGTATTTTATGATGTATTCTGGTAGAAAAAGTAATTTTAAGACGATTTTATTCTTGTGATTTTTTTCATAAACCTAACCGTTTCAAAGATAATAATGGTTTAAGTTGTGAAATTTTTAATGGTTTTCAAACAAAACAGCTGGCATGCTTGCTTAGGCCTTTATCAAAACTCTTTCTCATGCAGAAATTTCAAAACTTTAACCATTATTATCTTTGAAACGGTTAGGTTCATGAAAAAAATCACAAGAATAAAATCGTCTTAAAATTACTTTTTCTACCAGAATACATCATAAAATACAGGGTGTTCCATAAGAAAAATCAAAGTTGGCGGCCATATTGGAAAAATGGCGGCTAAAATAAATTTTTTGACTTGACTATAATTTTTATAATAAAAAATCCAAGGGACTTACCATTTAACTTTTTTTGATATCTCTTATAGATTTCAAATAAAACGGCTGGCACACTTATATCAATCACCCTGTATATATATATATATATATATATATAAAAATTTGAACAAATGGTGTTTTTGGCCTCTGGGGACATCAAAATAAAAAAGTAAATCGGTCCCGGGTCTAGGTCTTACCGTACCACCTACAGTAATAGCTACTTCCCTATAGGGAAATTCGCTAAAAACTTAAGACAGCTAGCCTGACCATACTACTGAACTAAATTACACGTGGTTGGTACCAAATGAAAGATATTTCCCTTTAGATATGCAGAATCCCTTTATAAATTAAAGTAGGCTCAAAAATAAGCAGAAAAAACTAACTTGAAATAATAAAAAAATGGGCCTTATAGGTTGCCATGCTGGTGACAAAATAACAACAAAATATAAAATACCCCCGCCGCAGCAAACCTGCCGACTAAGCGAATTTCCATTTGTCTGAATTGATTTTCAGTTAAATATATTTTAATAACATTAGGTTTAACGAGTACCTAGGTTTGCTGCTACAAGGAAACTAATAAAGTGTGTTTTTGAGTAAAATATTGATAGCATAGTACAAAATAAATAAATTTGCCAAGTTTGATCAAAATATATCCATAAACAAGCAAACTACAACATTTGACAATATTCCCCATAAGAATAACATGGGAATTTTAAATTTACAATTTTTTTAATTTTCTCCGTTACTAATAATCAAACAAAAATTTTTTTATATACTAAATTATTTGTTTTTTTAAGCTCTTTAAAAAGGTCTAACAAGAAATTGGGAAATTTTGTGTTTTGAGGGTCAAAAGTGAGAAAAACCAATTTTTACCCCATAAAACCCCCCGTAAAGCCCCGTTCCCATGGTCCGATCATGCTGGTTCGCGAACTCATTCAAGTTTATCCCGCTTTACACCTTTAAACCAAATTTCATCAAAATCGGACAAAAATTACTCAAGTTATCGCGTTCACGGACGTATATATATACATACAGGGTGTCCCGGAACTCTCTACCAATATTTTAGGGCATTGTTCCTGGGTAAGAAACATATCTAAATATCATATTTAAATTGTCCGGAAGTCCTTATTTACTCAGATAGCCGCCATTTTGTTTTTTTTTTCACTTATTAATTTTTTTCTGAAGATTGCTTAAACATACGAAGTTGAAACTTTGCACAAACATTTATGACAACTAGACAAAGCTACAAAAAAATTATGACGATTTTTCAAATTCATAAAACAAAATGGCGGCTGTTTAAAATTTTCTTTCTTAAATTACTCGAAAACCGTTGATTTTACAAACATTTTACAAGAATAACTTTTTTAAGGCAATTTTATTACAAATCGATCGACACCATAATCTTTAGGATCGGACGAGTATTAACTGAGATATGACAGTTTTAGTGATACGTGACCGCCGGATATTAGTTGCAGCGCATGCTGAAAGCGGTCACGTATCACTAAAACTGCCATATCTTGTTTGACATTGGTATATTTACTAATCGATGGGTCATTGAATGAAAAGTTGACAATTTGTGCTGCCATGGGTGATTTGAATTTGATGGTATGATTATGTGTGTTGTAGTTGGTTTTCGGTATATTTTAAAACTATGCATGTTTCTTTCTTTCGAAATTGTTATGTCTAGAAAGTTGATTTGTGAATTTTGTATTTCTTTGGAGAATTTAATTTGCGATGAAAGAGAATTTATGTGTTTATGTAGTTCTTCTGCTTCAATTTGAGTGCCTTCAAATAGGCAAAGAATGTCATCAACATATCGGTACCAGTACAATATTTTTGATTTGTAAGGATTTGTTTCGTTTAAAATTTTGGTTGTTTCTAGATTGTTCATGTAAATATCTGCTAAAAGTCCAGAGAGGGGAGAGCCCATGGGTAAACCGTCTTCTTGTATGTAAAATGAATTGTCGTATTGAAAATAGTTTTGGTTTAGTGTAACTTTTGTTAGTTTGATTATGTCATTAATTTGAGGTCTTGTTAGTGTTCCATGGTCGATTAATTGTTGTTCGAGTATCTCAATGGTTTCATCTATAGGTATGTTTGTATACATGTCATTTACATCAAATGAAAGAAACAATGAGTTCTGTGGTATATTTATATCTTTAATTTGGTCTATCAATTCATATCAAATCATACCATCAAATTCAAATCACCCATGGCAGCACAAATTGTCAACTTTTCATTCAATGACCCATCGATTAGTAAATATACCAATGTCAAACAAAGATTTTGAAAAAGAGAAAAACATCATCCTATATTTAGCCTTGAAAAATGGATACAAATCTTCTATAATTGAAAAAATGATTCGAAGGAAAATTAAAAAGAAATCTGAAACACAAAGATCAATTGGAGAAAACAATAGAAAAGAATATATTTGCATACCCCATAATACAACCATAAACAAAGCAACAAGAAAAACCTTCCAAAATTCAAATTTGAAAATAAGTTACAGAACAAAAAATAATGCCTTTCAGATGATAAAAAACAAAATTTCTAATGAAGCACATAACAACCAAGTTAAAGATATAAACAAATCAGGCATTTATCAAATTAAATGTTCAGACTGCAACAAATCCTACATTGGCCAAACAAGTCGTAGCTTTAAGAAAAGGTTCCAGGAACACATACAAGCGTTAAAATCAGGTAACAAAACTACAATGAAATCAAATTTTGCAGAGCACCTAATCGAAACTCGACATGAGTACAAAAATATAAATGAAAATTTAGAAATTCTAGAATATGAAAGAAATAAAACAAAATTAAATGTCAAAGAAGATTTTCATATATACAAAAATTACAAAAAATACCCTCAAAATTTATTGAATACCATGAACATAAATAAAACAAATCCGATATTTGAAAAAATCCTACAGTTGCAATAAAACTAAAACATTATATAATATACACAAAATTAAACAAAGATTAAATCAAGATCCTCTAAATTCTAAGTTAACTTAACATATGACTATTTATTCCTTTCATTAATTATTTTTGTTATTGTATTTGTAAATGTAAACATGACTATGACCTAAGTGTCGAAACATGTCGTTTATTAATTAAAAATGAATTTAAAAAGGGTACTTATGCTTTTATAATGTTTTCAATTATTTATATAATAGTAGCCCTAACCACAATCATACTTAATGTATGTATATATATACTGGGTGGCCCATAAGTCAGTTGACAAATTTGCATTTAATGAAATGATACACAACAAAATGGAATACATGTATATTATTAATTCATAACTCAAAAACAACATTTACTGTCGAGATGGAGGTTGAACATTCGGAAAACGTTCTACAAACAAATTGCACACATCACTATAACTATGGCCATGTTTCCACCATGTTTGCAAAACAAATACACGCTGTTCTGTTGTTAACTTTCTATTCATTGTTTATCGAATAACAATGAACACACTATCATGAATAACTATCAAACATAACCTCAAACTAAACAACAACAATTACTAAACACAACTCCCAACAGCTGTGGTATTACAGCTGTGTATGGTACCAACTGCTAAAATAAAAAAAAAATTGCAAGCGTCAACTGACTTATGGGCCACCCAGTATATGTGTACGTGAACACAATAACTTGAGTAAATTTTATTCGATTTTGATGAAATTTGGTTTGAAGGTGTAAGGCGGGATAAACTTGAATGAGTTCGCGATCCAGCATGATTGGACCATGGGAACAGGGTTTTATGGGGTAAAAATTGGTTTTTCTCACTTTTGACCCTCAAAACACAAAATTTCCCAATTTTCCTCTAAACCTTCTTAAAGAGCTTAAAAAAACAAACAATTCAGTATATCAAAGTGTTTTTGTACGGTTATTGGTTACGGAGAAAACTAAAAAATGGTAAATTTAAAATTCCTATGTTATTCTTATGGAGAATATTGTAAAATGTTGTAGTTTGCTTGTTTATAGATATCTTTTGATCAAACTTGGCAAATATGGTTTATACCAAGCAATAATTATTTTACTTAAAACACACACTTTATTAGATTCCTTGTAGCAGCAAACCTAGGTACTCGTTAAAAAACCTAATGTTATTTAAATAGATCAATTGAAAATCAATTCAGCCAAATGGAAATTCGCTTAGACGGCAGGATTGCTGCGGCGGGGGTATTTGTTTATATTTTCTTTTTATTTCGTCACCAAAATGGCAATCCATTTATTTTATTTTAAATTAGTTTTTTGTGCTTGCAATTTTTCTAACAATTTGCATAGATTTTCCCTGCGATGCATAGGAGCTGAGAAAAAAGGTTTTTAATAAACATGTTTGTCTATTATAAACAGAAAATAAACAAATGGAAGAAATTCCAAACACATTTTATTTAAAACATGGGGTGAAAATAGAGAAGTTTGCACAATACATAGGCTACTTTTGGTTGAGTTTTTGACCACGGAGCAAGCTCTAAATTATATTTTAAAGAAATATACTACAAAAAAATATCTTACTACTCTTTATCCCCTTTAAACACTTTAATGAAATAAATAACATTATAAAAATTCATTCTTTTATAAAACTTGCATTATATTAATTTGTTAACTATATATACATGTGAACTAACCTTAACTCAACAGCTTCATAGGATGGAAACTCCGACTGTACGGACTCCTCAATTCCCTGAAAAAGTTTGAGTACTGTACTACACCAAATATTGTACTTGACACATTACAAGACTTCACATTACTAATATTGTACTTGGCAAGCAGTGAATTTTACTCTACACTATTTGACTTAGCACTTTGAGCACTGATCTAAATTTTTTTGTATCTCAAGAAAGAATAAAGATAGAAAGATAAAACAAAAACCATTCTTTTCAGAATGAAATTAGCTTTAATTTGATATATACAACATGTCAGTATTTCAAATAGCCTAATTAAAATGTTTAACCCCAAACTCAAAATTTTAAAAGCCAATTCCAAAAAACACATGATTTAAAATTTTCAAAAAACACCATGTATTTCTAATGCTATTAAAATGTTTGCTACCTATCGCCACATGTATGCGACACTGTGGTCATTGTCACGGACCAAGGTATACATTTTAATATTACCCATCTAGACCAGGTGTCACTTGGTTCACAGTATATACAGACAGTGATGCAGCAAAGTAAAAAAACAGTTTTGCCAACTGTCATAATATGATGTCACTAATCATCATATGCACAGACCAAGTGGCGCACATATACAATAGACATCATCATCATCATCCTTTTATTGATTTCCCTCAAGGGGTACATAAAAAAATACATTTACAAAATACAATTACATGCAAAATAACCAAGGTTGGTAAATAAGTTTTACTAATAACTAGGCTAATAAATAATCATATAAATACATGCAATAAATAATTCAATAAATAACCAATAAATATCTCATAAATACTGTATAAACATAGAATACCAGTAGAAGAACAATAAATATTTACACTGATAGCTGAGCCAACATTCAAAATTAATTATATTCAAAAAACATTAAAAGAAAGAGATCTGCATTGAATTTTTAAACCATACATTTAATGGGGATTTGAGTCAAGAGGGGGGGAGGGCAGCTGTATGTTGCCTGCGGACCTTATTTTCCATTCATTCTCTAATATATCCAAAAATATTTTCAAATGTTCCGCAAACTCACGCAATGTCGACATATTATTTTCCATAAACATACTGTCTATTCCAGATTTGCCCATTCCATTGTACCTACATTCAATAAATGCATGCCATCCATTCTCTATTTCCCCACACAGTACGCATATTCTATTTCCTGTCTCATCTTTCCTGCACATCCACAGCCAGGTTCCTAATCTATATCTCGCTATCAGTGACCTCTGATTTGGTTTAAGTAAACAAACATACTCTGCTCCTGACCTTGGCACTCCAATCATCCTTGAAACTTCTAAACTTTTCTTTGTCATCGCCTCAGTCCACAAATAAGAGTAACATGCATTCTTTAAAACATCTTTAATTTGTTTAATATTTTTTAAGCTAAGAGTATCACTTTGCCAGATCTCAATTAAATTAATATTTTTTAACAACTGCTTTATTTCGCCTGACCATGAACTGTTGTTTCTATGATTTTCATTAACTTTTAAACAAGCTCTTTGTAATTTCTTATCTAATGAAGTCTTTATTCTTACAAAATACATTATCGCTCTTTCTTTAGCTTTAAATGACGTTAATAACCTGCCAGCTTCCAAGATCGCTCCACTATTGGCTGTATTATTACTTACTCCCAATAATCTTTTACAATGTGCTATGCCTACTCTGTTTACAATTCTTTCATTACATCTTGCTCCCCATATTTCTGCTCCATACAAAGAAATTGGTTCTACTAACGCACCAAACATTCTATTTATAAGCTTTATTGAAATTTCTTTATTTTCATAATAAGTCTTTCTGACAGTCGAGGCAGCTACTTCCGCTTTGTTTGACATTGTTTTTTGATGCTTAATCCAAGTTCCGTTATGATTTAACTCTACTCCTAAGTATTTGTACTCTTTCACAATTTCTAATCGCTTTTTCATTATTTGCCAACTAAATTTCTTACTAACTTTATGCCCTTTTTTCAATACCATGACTTTAGTTTTATTCACATTGACTCTAAGTTTCCACTTAACACAATAATTCTCAAAGGCGTTGAGGGCTCTCTGAAGGCCAATTATTATTATTATTATTCTTTGTCATGAGAGCCGAAGCCCCCTGACTACATACCCGGTACCTATCGTGAACCATACCCGGGCCCCATGATGTAGGCCGAAGCTTACGCATCAACCTTTAGCACATCATGGGCGGATGACTTAAGGTCATCAGGCTGGGATCATCTCATAACTCCAAGGTTTCATAACTCCAAGTGATCATAACTCCAAAGTTTCATAAGTCCAAGAGATCATAACTCCAAATTATATTTAATCCAAAGTTTCAAAACTACAAGTACCCGAAAAGGGATAATTTCATTACTCCAAGAAAAATATAAGTGCAAGTGATCATAACTCCAAAGTTTCATAAGTCCAAGATATCATAACTCCAAAGTTTCATAAGTCCAAGTAAAAATTAAAGCAGAGTGTCATAACTCCAAAAGTTGAGTCGAGTCTCATATCTCCAAGTGGAATGTGTAGTACAGTCAGCGCCACAAGTTCCTGCGCTGTCCGCTCCGCTGTAATACTGTCAGCAGCCTTTGCCGCATCATTGTATCCATATACCTACCGTCGCCTGTCAAACGATTATGTAATTTTGTTATATACTTACAGATTAATTAATTGATATACTTCTTACTTCTATGCTAAAGGTACTTTAACCTTTAACTACTCGCGCGGGTTTTACTAACGTATGTACTCGCGTGGGGTGTTTTTGACACCCCGTTATTACATATTTGTTATAATTAATTGTATTAACACTAATAATTGGTGAATAACATTTTTTGTTGTTATTTAAGTTTATTAACGTTTTTATTAGCTCGCTTTCTTGTCCGGTACAAATTTTGCAATCAATTTTATACTAACTTCCCGATGAGCTAGAGATTTGAAACTTGAAACATAGCCCACAAATGGAAGACAATGCAATATAATATCATTTAATTTTCATATTTCCCTTGGGCTACGCCCCATGGGCTTGTTTTTATTTTACTGTATACTGTTTCCAATATGAAAGAGTTATTTATTTTAAGTTATACAATGTAAATAATATATTTCTTTTACCAACTGCAGTTTGTGTGTGTATTTGGTCAAGTTTTGCATATAAACCATTTGTTGTATTAAAAAATATGTATTTTGTCATTGAACTGTTTGATATTGAATAACTAGCATATGTACTACCCGGAAAATATATAATTTTTAAAAGATTATAATATGTCTGTGAATGGTAAAGGTATTATTTTTCCCTAAAATGTACTACTAAAAAAACAGTTTTTAGGGGGGGGGATCGTAATACACACAAGTTTTGTGCAAACAAATTTATTTATATGTCAAAAACACTTGTTTGTTATCGAAATAAATTTAAATAAAAAACGTCGGGTTCACTTAAACGAATTGTTTACTTGAAGTATACAAACTCAATGGTACATATCGTTCACATAAATAAATTGTCTACTTGCAGGATCCAAAGAAATGGTTAATTTGATTCCCATAAACGGAGTGCCGATTCGCAGTATATTAAGTCAATGTTACGTCTGGTTCACGTCAATGGAATGTCTACTTGCAGCATCTAAACTCAGTGGTATCTTCGGTTCATATTAATGGAAGTCCTAATTATTGCAGTACCTATTCAAAGTCTGCATTATTTAATTGTAAGTCTAGTTCACTGAAATGGAAAGCCCACTTGGAATTGCAAGTTAAATGGAAATATAACTCAATGGTAGGCTTATATTTGGTTAAAATGTAATGGATATTTAGATTATTTAAAGTCAAAGGTGTTTCAGCCTTATTCTGGTGACCATAATTATTGGTTGTTTTCATTTTTATTTGTATGCCTATATTTTTATTTGGTAAACTGCCATAACCGTTTACATTTAATTTGATTGTATCTATATGCAATATTTATATTTTAATTTATATTTATATTAATATTTTTTTATTATATTTATATTTATAGGCCTTTCTTACTTAAATTTACATTTTTTAAACGGGCAGTTCAGAAGACGGGGCACGGAAGCCACGTCATGTTGGTAACATTGACAATTCGAAGTAAGCGGCAGGCAGGTTGCCAGTATGGATACTAAAAAAGTCCCACACGCCCCTGCTCGCCCCTCCACTCAACTCTCCATCAATTCCAGAACATGAAAGGATCCATAATGTCATATGGGTTCAAGTTATGACCAAATGTTACAGGACCACTTTTGTTAGCTGTATTGTTCTACACCTTTTAATTTTCTAACTCTTCTCTAGAGTCATTATTAAAAGAATTAATAAATACTAGTGTACATGTTGCTCGAATTCGAGCAATTGCAAATATTACAGAAGATATTTTAAAACGAATAACAGTCATATTTACAACGAATTTAAAAGAGTCAACTCAAAGATTACCGGTGTGTAACTCAGACTATGTTTATCTTCGTTATTGATAAACCTAAAGCATTCGGGCCGGTTTTCTCCTTCTCAAAATGCCTCGCTGTACAGGCAACACAGGTCATTTATAGAGGGCCAATTGAGAACGAAAAGTCGTTTTGGGGTAGTGTTAGGGGGCATTTGTAACCTAATGGTTGAGATTGTCCAGGGTCAGGTGCTGACTGTGATGAGTTAAGCCTAGGTTCTGGCGCACACCGCTGGGATCGCCACGGTAGTTACAGCGTACGCGCTATGTAAACTACAGCGGTGTGCGCCCGAACTTATGGTAACCATGGTAACCGCAGCACGGCTGACAGTCTAATTCTTTTTGTCTATGCTAATACTCGCCACTGTTCTGTGAGCTGCGGTCGTTATCACGATTACGCCTCCTGTCTATATGTGTTGTTGTCGTCACGTCGGAGGCATATAAAAAAAAAACAACAAATAAACAAATGATAGCTACACAAAACAACGAGAAATGTTACAATCGTACTAACACGATCCGTCATAGCTACACAAAACAACGATAAATAAATACACAAATTTAAGATACTGTACAACCATACTAACAAAATCCGTCTTGGAGG